GGCATGAGCGGGATGGTGACCCCTTCCGTGGCCGTGCAGATTTGGTCCTTCCCGAACGTGTATTTCTTGTGGTATGGCATGGCCCCCAGCGTGATACCATGTTTCTCCTTGAAGTGCGTGACCCACTTGGTGAACGTGTCCAGGCCCAGCATGGTGAAGCCACATGCCGTGGACTGATTTCTCGATGTCTATGGCCAGGCTGGTGTGATCCACGAAATTGGACTTGGACGCCATCTTCGCCTCCGTCGCGATGTAGTTGCAGACCTCATCGTCCTGGAGCACCGTCATCGCGATGAAACCTTCCGTGGGCGTGCTCTTGATCTTCGGGTTGTCGGGGCATTCTCGATGCCAATGCCCCAGTTTCTTACATATGCCACGTTTCGTCCGTGTCTTGATGTCCTCGATATTCTCCTCGACCTGTCTGCGATCCCTGAGATTGTAGAAGCCCCTGTTAGCCTTCTTGTCGGCCACGGTCTTTCGAGCTTCTCCCCACGTTCTTGGCTTCGGTGGTGGTGGTACGATGGCCGCCAAGCAGTCGAGCGCCTCCGTATCCGTCAAGATCTGCCCGCTCTCCGTCTGTTCGAGGTTCTCTCTCTCTCTCTCTCTCTCTCTCTGCTCGTCGTCGTCAATGCCGAACAGGTTGGCCATCGCGTCGTATACTGCGTTGTCCGCATCTCCTTCTTCAGATGCTGGTTGTTCGCCCGCTTCGTCCACGCCTACCTGATACGTTGCCTTCGCTGTTGATGACTTGTCGATCACAGTGTTGTCGTCGGTCATCCTCTTCAGGATCGCCACGAAATTGTTCACGTTGTCGCCGTGCCCCGTCCGGATCAGCACCTGGTTCCTCTCCGTCTTGGCTAGACCCGTTCCTCTCAGTAACAGGAATATGATGTCCGTCTCGTCCATCGGCAGCAACTTGTCTAGCTCCTTCTGCGCAGCTCGCACCATGTTCGTGAACGTCGTCAGCGTCTGGTCTCGTGCTCGCGGCGCCGCGAACACTGCCTTCTCCTCCTTCTCCTTCTCTCCCTCCCCCACCCCCCCCCCCCTCCCCCTCCCCCTCCTCCCCCTCCTCCTCCTCCTCCTCCTCCTCCTCCTCCTCCAGCGTCTGCCTCTGGGAACGCAAGCGTATCTGGCGCCAGCATCACCGCCCGCAAGCCTCGTGGATACTGGGCGCTCCCAGGTCGTAAGCGTCTCGCTGCCGTCGCCGCTCCCTTCGTTTGTGCAGGGGCAAGGTCTCGCCCTGCGCTTCGGGTAGTACGGCGGTCAGTCCTCCTCCTCCTCCTCCTCCTCCTCCTCCTCCTCCTCCTCCTCCTCCTCCTCTCTCCTCCTCTCGCTCCTCCTCCTCCTCCTCCTCCTCCGCTCCTCCTCCTCCTCCTCCTCCTCCTCCTCCTCCTCCTCCTCCTCCTCCTCCTCCTCCTCCTCTCTCCTCCTCCTCCTCCTCCTCCTCCTCCTCCTCCTCCTCCTCTCCTCCTCCTCCTCCTCCTCCTCCTCCTCCTCCTCCTCCTCCTCCTCCTCCTCCTCCTCCTCCTCCTCTCCTCCTCCTCCCTCCTCCTCCTCCTCCCTCCTCCTCCTCCTCCTCCTCCTCCTCCTCGCCTCCTCCTCCCTCTCCCTCCCGCCCTCCCTCCCTCCTTCCCTCCCGACTCCATCTGTCTATCGCCAGTCTCCTCTCGGGCCACTCGCTCAGGTCCTTACCGTCCCAGGTTGGGCATGGAGGGTCCTTGCACTTTCGACCGCCTCGTCGTTCTGGTGTTCTGGCTCGTCCCATTCCTCGAGTCGGCCTCGCGTCTCCATCATCCTCTTCACCTGCTCAGGGGTCCCGAAACCTCTCGACGGCGTAGACCCGTCTGAAGATCCTGCCTCCCAGCCCTACTTCCTGCCCATGTTGCGGTTCCCCTCGGAGCCGCCCTCGTAGTCTTCGCATGCCCACCAAGCTCCCTGGTTGGACTGACTCCTGCATGATCTGGAATTGGTGTCTTGATGTGCTGCTCGTCGCGGTGGTATCCCTGTCCAGTGTGCCCAGGGGTCCTTTGAAGCGTCATCCGTACCGTGCTGCTGCTCGCCCTTGCCGTTCCCTTCGTCGTCCTCAACCAAACCCCCGCACGTTGATGTCGTGACTGCCGTTGCCGTCGCTTCTCTTACCACATGTGATCCGACCTCCATTCTTCGGAGAACTCCAGGACATCCTGAGACCGAAAGAGAATGATGATGCGAGCAGCGTTTTCAGTACACCAAGCTGCACTCCTGGGAGGGGGCCGCGGGCTCCCTTCGGCTGAACCCAGATGGCTTAAGAGAGAAAGGGGCTTCAGGGGCTCTGGCTAAGCACCCGGGCCTCTAGAGGTCTCTAAAGGGCTCTATGATCACACCTCCTACGTTTATGCAGCAGTGGCTGCCTTCACGTCGCACCCTGAAGTGGGCTGCGAGGGTACCGTGCATGCTTGTTCCTCCTGCGTTCTGGCGCCAGTCGGGGAGCATTATCTACCCCCTGTCGATCACGGGCGTCACCCGTGGAGTGGGGGAGGAGGGGAGGAAGGGGCCAGTAATGTCACGTTTCGCGCCGGCGCCGTCCGGGAATGCTTACACGTTGTTCAGTTCTAAGTTTTCGAAAGTTGTTTGATTTTTGGGGGGCCAAGATCCTTTCATTTCTAATTGTTCTATCCTGGGCCTAATCCTGGCCACCTGGGGGCCAGGAACAACTAGAAACGAGCACAATTAGAAATGAGCACGATTAGAAATGAACGACGTGTAGGAATAACCAAAGGCAGCTCGGATAGCAGATGTCTGCAGGGATCTGGTGCGGCAGAGCACGCATACCTGTGGGAACGTGCTACGGCAGAGGGCCTCCCTTCTCCTCCTCCTCCTCCTCCTCCTCCTCCTCCTCCTCCTCCTCCTCCTCCTCCTCCTCCTCCTCCGCCTCCGCCTCTTCCTCCTCCTTGCTCCTCCCGCGTCCCTCATCATGTTCCCCGTCGTCGTCGTCGTGGTCGCCGCCGTCGTCGTCGTGTTCCTGCCACGCTGGGACGATAGTACCCAATAAGACGGGACACTTGTCATGTGTGCCTCTTGCCATGAAGTTGTACGTAGAGACATGACGTGGCGAGCCTGGGCGAGAGCTGCACGGACCTGTGGCCGCAGGTCTCTCCAGGCTTCGGCCATCGTGCGGCTGAGTAAGTCAGCCATACGCACGTGTATCCAGCAACTGGCCGCCGCGTGTTCCGCACGTGATTTCAGCCGCATGTGTTTCCAGCCCCCTCCCCTCCCCCTCCCCCTCCTCCCCTCCCCTCCTCCTCCTCCTCTCCTCTTCTCCTCCTCCTCCTCCTACTCCTCCTCCTCATCCTCCTCCTCCTCCTCCTCCTCCTCCTCCTCCTCTTCCTCCTCCCCCTCCTCCCTCCTCCTCCTCCCTCCTCCTCCTCCCTCCTCCTCTCCTCCTCCTCCTCCTCCTCCTCCTCCTCCTCCTCCTCCTCCTCCTCCTCCTCCTCCTCCTCCTCCCTCCTCCTCCTCCTCTCCTCCTCCTTCCTCCTCCTCTCCTCCTCTCCTCCTCCCCCCCTCCTCCCTCCTCCTCCTCCTCTCCTCCCCTCCTCCTCCTCCTCCTCCTCCTCCTCCTCCTCCTCCTCTCTCCTCCTCTCCTCTCCTGTCCTCCTCCTCCCTCTCCCTGCCGCCCTCCTCCTCCTCCTCCTACCTCCTCCCTCCTCCCTACTCCCTCCTCCCTCCTCCCTCCTCTCCTCTCCCTCCTCCCTCCTCCCTCCTCCCCCTCCCTCTCCCTCCTCTCTCCTCCTCTCCCTCCTCCCTCCTCCTCCTCCATCCTCCCTCCTTCCTCTACCTACTCCCTCTCCTTCTCCTCCTCCCTCCTCCACTCCTCCCTCCTCTCCTCATCCTCCTCCTCAGGCCTCCTTCCTCCTCCTCCTCCTCCTCCCCTCTCCTCCTCCTCCTCCTCTCCTCCTCCTCCTCCTCCTCTCCTCCTCCTCCTCCGCTCTCTCCTCCTCTCCTTCCTCCTCCCTCCTCCCTCCTCCTCATCCTCTCCTCCTCCCTCCTCCCTCCTCCCTCCTTCCCTTCCTCCCTCCTCCCTCTTCCCTCCTACCCTCCTTACCTCCTTCCTCTCCCCCCTCCTTCCTCCATCCCCTCCCTCCTCCCCCTCCCTCCTCCCTCCTCCCCTCCCTCCGCCGCCTCCTCCTCCTCCTCCTCATCATCATCCTCTCCTCCTCCTCCTCTCCCCCCTCCTCCTCCTCCTCCTCCCATGTCGCCCGCGTCCTCGCCGCGCCTCGCCCCTGGGCGCGGTGCGGCGCCGCCGCGCCTGCCCTGCGCACGTGATTCCAACCGCATGTGAGTGCTGAGCATAGCCAGCTGAACACCATGGAAATCTGGATGCGGCGGGCTGTGGGGGGAGGAGGAGGAGGAGGAGGAGGAGGAGGAGGAGGAGGAGGAGGAGGAGGAGGAGGAGGAGGAGGAGGAGGAGGAGGAGGAGGAGGAGGAGGAGGAGGAGGAGGAGGAGGAGGAGGAGAGAGAGAGAGAGAGAGGGAGGAGGAGGAGGAGGAGGAGGAGGAGGGTTGAGCAGGAAGCGGGCCACGTGCATCTCATGGACTTGCGCCATGCCGCACGCCCCCAGCGCGCCGCAGCGACGTGGTGCGCAGAAATATTGCTAAGCCTTTGCGGCCAGTGCCGCCGACCCTGGAGGCCTCGGCCCTCGACGGAAACGGGGGGGGAGCGCGGGCCATAGGCCCCGGGAGGGTGGCATTCTGACCTGGGACCCCCCTCTCGGACCCCCCCTCCGCGGGGAAGGGATCAAAGGGAAGGGGCCTCCCCTCGACTCAATGACAGCGTTTTTTAAATGTCGCTGTGGATGGGCTGGTGTATTTCGCTTTGATTGGCGTGCTTGAGGACGAGGGCCCAAGGAAAGGGGAGGAGCGGCGACGGACTCAGGGGAAGGAGGGGACGTGATGGCGGCGACGCGACGCGACGGCGGCAGCGACGGCGATGACGACGGAACAGCCCCTGTCACACGTCGACAGGGTCGGCGGATTATCTTGGGCATTTGCGACGTTGTGATAGCATTCGACCAGAAGCTGCAGGTCACTCCTGGCGCGCAATCCGTTGCGAACACGCTGATGATGATCCCGTCGAAGGTCCAGGGCGAGAGCGTGTTGTTCCTGATCGCCGAAGAGGGCAGCGAAAGATTTGCTGAGATGGCGCATGGCGCCCGATCCAGCGCGATGCCAGGTCCGTGCGCCGCTTTCAATATTCAGCTGCCTGTGGTGAGTCCTGCAAACGTGCCGGTCCGAGGGCAGAGGTCGAAGGCTCCGATCAGAGGAGGAGGATGAGGATGATGATGACGAGGAGGATGAGGAGCAGCAAGAGGAGGAGGAGGAGGAGGAGGAAGAGGGAGGCCGTCACATGTGACACGTGTCGTCTCCACTTCTTGAGGAGCTCTCATGGAGCTCGTTTGGGCCGTCTTGGGGCTGCTTGGTGCTCCTGTGTGGCAGCACTGGGCGTCGCGAGGGGCTGTTTGGGGGCCGTCTTTGGAGCGGCACGAACCATTCCCAGAATGAGTTCGTGCTTCTCGCGGTCACGCCCGGGGAGGCCGTAGTGGACACCGCGGCAGAGAAACCGTTTCTGGATCGACACATCGAAGTTCTGAAGCCAGGGGTCGCAAGGTTCCCTTAGTTCCCCTCCAAGAACCCTTCGGCCCGGGAAGTGGCAGGCGGCAAAGGTGTTGCACGCGGCACTGATTCCCGCAGGCATCCAGGGAAAGTGCGGAATCATCGAGCTAGATGCTTGAGAGGAGGATGCCCCACCGCTGTTTCAGGAAGGTTTTCAGAATTTGCCAGGTTCCAAGATATATTTGGAGAAGAAGATCATGAACCTTAGGCGTCTAGGAGTAAACGTAGGAATGCAGCGTCTTCCCAGCAGACATCGCACCATCAGAAAGAGCGTGTTCTACCGCTGCTGGCGGAAAACCGGGGGGGGTCACTACCGGTTCGAACCCCTCCCCCCCCCCCCCCCCCCTCCAATCATGAAAAGGGGGGGGGGGTCACTACCGGTTCAAACCCCCCCCCCCCCCTCCAAAACCGAGTGGGGGTGCGGACAGTGGTGGGGACGGTATTAATAGGGACAGTAATGAGGGGACAGCGGGACAGTGGTGGGGACAGTGGGACAGGGGGACAGTGGTGGGGACGGTAGTGGTGGGGACAGTGGTGGGGACAATGGTGGGAACAGGGGGGACAGTGGACAGTGGTGGGGACGGTGGTGGTGGGGACAGTGGTGTGGGGACAGTGGGAATGAGGTGGAAACAGTGGGACAGTGGAGGGTACAATGGTGGTGGGGACAGTGGTAAAGGCGGTGGCGAGGACGGCGGTGGGACAATGGGACAGAGGTACAGTGGGGACAGTGGTGGGGACAGTGGGGACAGTGGTGGAACAGTGGGACAGCTCAGTGGGACAGCGGAGGAGTCAGTGGGACAGTGGGGACAGTGGGGATAGGCAGTGGTTGGGTCCGTGGAGACAGTGGGGAGAGTGGAACCGTGGTGGGAACAGTGGTGGGAACAGTGGGGACAGTGCGACAGTGGTGGGGCACTGGTGGGACAATAGGGACGGGTGGAACCAGTGGGGACAGTGTGGTGAGGACAGTGGTGCTGGGAACAACAGTGGGGGATGTGATGCGAGCGGTGGTAGGGACCGGGAGTCGTTTGCTGGCGGTGCGTGGTGGGGGGTCGAACCAGTAGTGACCCCCTCCGGTTCTCGAGGGGGGGGGGGGTCCAACCGGTAGTGACCCCCCCCCGGTTTTCCGGATCAGGGGGGGGGGGGGGGGGGAGGGTTCGAACCGGTAGTGACCCCCCCTCCCGGTTTTCGTGTGGGGGGGGGGGGGTTAGGGGAGGGCGGGGTTTTGCTGGGGGGGGGGGGGGGGAGGGGTTCCCAGCGGGGGGGGGGGATTTTCGGAGGGGGGGAGAGACCCCCGGGCTCCGGAGGAAAAGGTTGGCAATTTTCCACAGTAAAGCGGCGGTGGATCACGCTCTCTCCACCATCAGGATCGATGATTGTCGAGCCTCCGGCAAGGATTTTCAGTGCCTGCGGCTTCCTTCGCTGAAGGAAAGCGACTTTCATTGTGCTGACGGCGGGAAAGCTGAGTCAGGAAATTATTCATTTTTCTATTTCACCTCCCTCAACGCCTGAGATGACTGAAAGAGTCCAGCTGAGCCTGGTTTGCGCGTTCCAGGATATCTGAGGGTCGGTCCGGCGGTATCCAGCCTGGGAATTCGGGAGCCCAGTGATGGCTCAGACACGCAAGTCCCACGGGCATCATGTTTATTCGGCGCCAGCCAATGAACAATCGTTACAAGTAGAAAGAATAGCACGCCAAGCCTTACGGTTATAGTACTGTGGCGGATCATTGAATGCAAGCTCTCGTCAACAAGCATATTGTAAAACAGTGCGCCGTGGGCGTCCTCCGCGTCGGCGACGACGGTGCGGCCGAAGTTGTTCCGCGAGCACTAGCAAGTCCAAGTGAGTTTTGCACTTGCGATGGCTGGGCGGCACCGTCAAGAAGACATTTCCCGAACCCTCTGGCGTTTACAATGTTGCGAGGTATTCGCGCGGCTGCAGTAGATGGCGACTGCGAGTGTGGGGGACATTCACGCGTGGTTCTATCGAAGACGTCTTCGACGAAGTCTGTGCCTCCAACAAAAGAACGGGGCTGCATCTGCGCGTCTCCCGTGCCAAAGTTGTCTCCTCAGTCGTCCCAATCCTCCGTGCGCCGCCACGCCATGCATCATATCATCGCACGCAGTTGCCAACCTCTGAAATGCATCACGTTGTGCGTCCCAGTTAAATAAGTCCGCTGTTTCTTCTGATCAGCCCCAAATTGCATTTGAACAAATGTTCGTCTTGGTTGGCGTTCACTTTGAACTTGGGCCCTGTTTGTTCAGCCCTGGTATGCCAGCGGCATCGCTTACATGGTACGATATCGTGAAAGTTGCTTCCCTTGGGACATGAGCGCGTGTGGCCAATATCCAAATCTCGTGCCCTGGCGAATACACTTGAGAATGGCCAGCTTCCACCCCTAGCCTTCTTGTTCCGAGCCAACGCGCGTCTGCGGCAATTGCCCCACCAATAGGTTCCAGAGTACGAAAAGCACGTAGAATGTCGCACGCCTCCCATTCTTTCCCGATTGGGCGGACCCATTCGCTGAAGTACAAGCAAGTAGAAATAGGATTCTCCGGCAGAGGAATAAAATGTTCTGCGGGAATAGTCAGACAACGCTCTTCGTCGCGATTGATTTCGTACTCGTTCTTGACGAACTCAGTTGCCCTCATTGCCCCCACGATGGCTTCTGCCAATGCTGTTCGCGGGGTCGCCCCCTGCTGCCCTCGCCATCTGCTAAAATTTGGGGTGCCATGAGGATTCACGTCGTGAATGTTCAACGATTTGTACAACGATCTTTCGCCAGTGAGACCGCAATTAGCCCGAAGATCGCGCTCTTCATGTTCAGGAAAGCGCTCGTCCGCCCCCCCCCCCGAATGCAAACTGCCTTTGCCTGACCGCCCAAGGTTAGCAATCTCGAAACCCCAGTTGCAGCAGGACTTCGAGATCTATACCACTTGTCGGCACAGACGCACACGAATCGAGCCGGCGCCGAAGCGCGACCAACGCTTCGATCGATCAAGTTCGCAGGCCGATCCCGCGATCCACACATAGAAGATCACCAATCAAGTCGATATTCCAAACAACTAGCCATCTCAGTGGAAATCGCCGTCGGTAAGAGCGGCGCTCTTCTCGGGAGAAAACATCAAAAACATACATCAATTGTGGATGTGCTGGATTTGCCGAGGCGCCCGCGTTCCTGAAGTCATTAGTTCCGTTTCCCGTCACCACTTTTGCCAAGTTCAACAATCCATCTTTCGTTACCAACACGGCGGAAAGCGAGAACAGACACGGCAAGTTTGACCCAGGAGAATGTTCCGTTGCCGTATTACCAAAAATGAATTGACCAACAGTTGTTCCTTATATTTCTACAGGGTCCCACCAGCATTGGCAATCTCTGATTCGCTAACATGAACGCATGACCAATTCTGAAGCAACAGTTGGTCCCCCGAGCTGCGGGGCAATATTGCCTAGCGTCGTCGACGCAGCGATCTGCGAAAGTAATGCCTTTGCTTGCTGGCTTTGGCATGCCTCGCACAGTCAAGAAGTGGGCTGCGATCTCCTTGAGTGTGCCTGTCCTGGAGATGCTGCGCATGATTTGTTGCGCCATATCGCCAAGACGGTTGCACCAGTGAGCCTCCCAGACGTTGTTGGTTTGTCTCTTGGTGGAATCACTTTGAATGGTAGCGCAAATCAAAGGAAAATGCGTTGCGTGTTTCGGATCTTACCGTTAGGTACAGCAGACCACTTCCATTGAGCATATGTTGATTTATCTTCGTTCGAAATTCGTATGAAGAACTGTTCTACAACCACGAATAGATGTCTGCCATTCCCTTGTCATGCAAGAGTCTCACCTTGTTTCTCGTCCAGGTATCCCAGCTCCCCAAATGATGGTCCTTGAATGGTTGTTGTGTATGAGCCCACCTACTAGTGTCGTTTAAGCAAGAATATGGAAACTTGATGGTCCAGCTCGTAATGGTCGCCAGTCAGCTTAGCATCCTCAATCAAAAAACTTCCCTATAACGCAAATGTTAAGTTCGTTGCCTGTGTAAGTGTATGCGTGTGCCCTAACATGCTTGATCAACGTCTTGGCTTTTTCCTGTTGGCTGAACGCGTCGTCGGCACCTGTTGGCGCTTCCTGGTCGATTTGGGCCGTCGGGTCAGCGTCGGCGGCGCGGCCGAGTTCCGCGAACATTATATTCGGGCGAAGCATTTGGAAGCGTGCGGTTGTTCAACGCCATTACGTGGAAGGCCGCCGCCCATGCGCGCAAATCAGTAGACAAGTCAGGAATTCCGAAAAGCCCACCAAAGAGTATTGCAAAAGTTATGCATTCGCTCAAGGAGGAGAAATGCTCGAACAAGTGATGACCCTACCGCGCCCAACCGCTATCACGATACTAGATTTCGCCGTGGCTTCCCTTCGCAGGTTCAAAATGCGACCGACCCTTCTCCAATTGTTTCAGATCCCGCGGCATTGCACAAAATAATGATCCCTCCAGCTTGCATTCTTACCAACTCATCATTGAATATCGGCGTGACTCAAATGGCGCAAAAGACTATTGCCATCTTCCAAAATCCACAAGGACACTTTTGCCGCGAAAAGGTTTGCAGACCGTGCGTTTGCAAGGCGCGTGCCAGGCACGTGTAAACATCGTGTACACCCCGATGTCAATTATCGACGTCAGCACGAACTATGCGAGGAGAAAGGCAAACTACTCGCGCAACGTTGTTCGTCCACAATTTTTGGCGTTGGGCAAACAGGGCGGGTCGTAAACGATCTGCTCAACATAAATCAATCACAGGGCATGGGCCCACGATACCACGTCCGCAATATTCCTTCATGCGGGCCCAATGATCGTGCACGTCACTTCAGCGACCAGGCAAGCATTTCCCCGTGAGAGGGCCACCGCAGTGGATGATATTGTCGCAGATCTCGCAGTGGTCAAAGTTCCCCATGGTATCGTTCCCGACGCGATACTCCGCATATGCTTTATAGACTTCGTAAAACCACTGGACGACCAACAGGGCGCCAAGAGGTATGCGAAGACGGCCTCGGACCTCGGCGCTTCTCTCAACACCGCAGAGCGATTGCCAAAGAGCTATCCGAGCGTGGAAGAACTGGTGGGCCAATCAGTGAGCGGCCCACGCAACGCCAACGCACTCTGTACGCCAACCGCCACGCAGAAAAACAACAGCTTGCATATCTTTGTTCGTCTGGTATAGCGTTGGCCGCGTACGAAGGAAGACGCTCACTCAACCAATGTTTCTACAACAAGCAGCAATCAACACGCTCACCGCCACAACAGAAACGAACGATGCCGTTCGAAAACGAACACGTTTACACAACTAACAATAATCATCGCCACCGCCACAAAACCAGTCAAATTGCATACCCGTCATTCGTATGATCTAACGATGACGTCATACACCAGAGGGCCTTCAACCAGTCAGTGCCCTGTCTTGACGGAACTCTGACCCCACCGATTTTTTTACAGGTCAAGAACATCATAATGATATATACCATGTTCCAACCAGCCCTCAGGGGCTCGGCCGGGGCCGCGGCTGACGCGGAGGTTGATGGCCTGCTCATCGCAGAAGAAACACAGTGGCGCCTGTGCCCACGAAGACAGCTGGTACCCTATCTACGTTCGCTGCTCGCGTCTCGCCGCGAAGCGTGGCACGCAGAGGGACGCGCCTTGACTGGGCTCTGGCTTCGTCTTCTGGGAATGAGCAATATTTTGTATCATGATCCATCTATCTTCACTGGCCTTTACAGTCGGGGCGCTGACCTAAGGAACCCTAAATAAGGAACGAAGCCCCTTTTTTCATAAGTTAACCTTCGACTTGCAACCAAAAACTTCAGGAAAACATTGGGCAAAGTGTGGAATAATTAAGGAACGCCGAGCCCGTCCCCAACGAAAAGGGTTCCTTCTTCAGCGCCCCGACTGTAAGGGCTGGGCCAGGACCGCGGCCGATGTGGAGGTTGGTGGTTCCTTTAGCGCGGACGAAACGCTTCACTGCTTGTGCTCACGAGAACAACCGGCGCCCAAAATACGTTCGTTGCACGTCTCTCGCCGCGGAGCGCGGTCACGGAAGGCCGCGCCTTGACGGAGCGCCGACCGAATCCAATTCTTACAAGTGTTTACCATCGTAACATCGTATCTGTTATCCACTATCACTCAGCTGCCAGTGTAGCCATTCTGTCTCAAGCGAAGCCGAGGCACTCCCTAGTGCTCCTTCGGCTCGATTGTTTAGTGAGAACCTCCAATGGACTGCTTGCCTGCGCGATTTCACCGTCATGGCTGTGCCCACATCCAGGTGTTTGTTTCGACTGGCATATCACAATAGTTCGGCATATGGATAATCATGTGATTATGCTCCCGATCGCGCTGCTGACTGGCATATTGATCTGCTTGCAGTGAATGATCGACGGTTGTTATGTTAAGGTGCTCCCGGGTTCCTTCAACGGCAATCCGCAGGGTCTCACATCGCAATGCACAACAGTGGATTATTTGAGACGCCCTCGGATGTGATCGATAACGATTGGCCATGGGAGTCGCAAATATGCGACTGCCTTAAATGTTTTCCAATACGATGTGATTGGCCACACGGTACCCGCTCGGATTTTTGATCGTTTTGAAAGTAATCACACGCAACAGCAGGGGCGATCTATCTCTGATCTGTTCAACTCAGGTGCCAGCCGCATTGAAGGCAACGTCGCCTCGAACATTGTCCGCCTCACCAATCTGGACGGTGACTTTGTCTTTTATGCCGTCGGTGACGTCATCGTCGGCAACGCCGATGACGACATAACATCAACGAACACGATGAACCCACTGATAAACCAAAATCGGCATATCTTGATTGATACTTCAATCATACAAACTGATACCGGGGACAACTATTCATCCTTGGAGGATTGTCCAAAGACAAATGGGCCGACGTCCGCATGGACGGATCTGGTATTGCGTAACATCCTCGGGACATTGTGTATTGGGCATTGGGCAGCCAAAGATGCGGACAAATGCTTTTGGGATGGCTGGTACGATCGCGAATCCCAACATTTTTTCGGCAGAGACAAATCGACGCGATGAATGGATCGGTTTGTGTTTGTCAACACTCCTGTGGTCTACCATTGCAAAACTTCGGACATCTATTATCCCAGCCCGTCCACATGGAAGAACGCCCAACGACTCGGCAAATATTCCAGTGGGTCTAACGGAAGATCTGGTTTAACCGACTGTTTTGGTTCTCGAGCGGGGCTCGGGTTGCCGAGAATTTGGCGCTCCGCAACTACAACGCGACGCCAGCGGACACCGGGCAGGATAACGAGTACAAGGCCCACGACCTCGACGCGAGCTGTCCCCAATTGCTTGGGCGAGCGGGCTAGCCGTTCGGTCAAGCGTTTCGGCACGATGTGCGCAGGGATTTGTTCCGCACAATTTTCTGTGAGGAGCGCATACAACAAGTGAGGGCTCTTGTTTGACAGAATAAGAACCTCTCAAATTGATCTGTTTTTCCCTTTCAGGAGGGCCAAGCGGTTGGCCGAGACGGCGGATGCCCTGACGAACTTCTCCTCGTTTCCAGTCGCCCATCGTAGAAGACCGTTTGCCATGAGCCCCAGTGCATAAGTATGACAGAGTCCATGTTCGCGCGCGCACGTCGAAATCATGCTGCATGCGTCGTCTTGGTCCGGCCTCCTCCCCATGCAGCCTGGCGCTGCAGAAAAAAACGCAGCACAACGAAATTCCCACCAGAGCCCTGCGCCCCGTCCTCGACCTGCGGGATGTCCGAAAACACCGTGTCCAGGTATGCGTCTGCCTCGCTGCCCCAGTCCAGGGTTTCTGCTTCGGACCTGGCGGGTAGCACGCGGGTGCACGCATCTGGCAGCCGGCGGCCTGACTGGAGACATCGAATTGTGGACATTGGCTGGTATTTGGGGGGGAAGAAAAAAAACAAAAACAAAAGAAAATGCACCCCGTCCTTGCGCGGTAGCTTCCGAGCCCGCCCGATCTCTCTGTGAAGGCCCCGGGGCCCGAGATCGGGCGGGAGCGCCCGGCGAAGAAGATTGCAGCGCCCACGTTCGAGGCCCAGTGTTTGGCATCGCTCGGACGTGTGCATTTTTCCTTCGGCGAGGGCCATCGAGGAGCATCCTTGATCATTTAGCGAAAAAACCACGCACGAAATCGAAAAAAACACAGGGAATGGACGTCCAAGCGATGGCCAGAGTGCCGATCTTGGCTGTCCGCGCGGACCTCCGGCAGTTGTTGCGTGTGCTGCGTGGTTCTTCCTCTGCAGATCTCAGGGTCCTCCTCTCACCGAGCGCGCTCCGCTGCTCGCAGAGTGCCCACTCGCAGACAACCGAAAAAAACACATGTCCGTGTCGGTGTAATTTTATCGTGGATCCCCCGCGGCGGATCCAGGCCATTTGCGAGTAGTCACGTTGCGAGTCGTGGAACGCGCTCGTCGACTGCAGGGCTTCTGCGAGTAGTCACTTTGCGAGTACTGAAACGCGCTTGTCGATTCTCCTTCTCCCCCCCAGCTGAGGAGGAGCAGGAGGCTCATGATGCAACTCGTTCTCTGGAGGGGCCTGACCAACTCCACCGGCGAGCAGGCCAGCGCATCCCTGGCCTGAAGCCCCCTCGCTGCAGGCTAAGGATCTGCAGGTGGTGGCGTCGAGGCCCCCAAAAAAAAATTTCCCCCCTGCCCCTGGCCTGCAGCCCCCTCGCTGCAGGCTGAGGATTGGAAGGTGATGGCGTCGAGGCCCCCCCAAAAAAAGCCTCCCCCATCCCCCGCAGGCGCCTCTGCCCGAGCATCTCGGCGCCGGGGCGGCCCCGCGCACCAGTGGCCGGCCGCGCCCCCGCGGGGCCCCGGGAGCGGCCGAGGCCGGCGGCGCCGCGCCGAGGCCGCGCCGACGGGAACGCGGGCTCCGCGATGTACGAGCTTTGCCAGGATCTTCTCCTCCTCCTCCTCCTCCTCCTCCTCCTCCTCCTCCGCTTCTGCTTCCACCTTCTCCTCCTTCTCCTCCTCCTCCTCTTCATCTTCCTCCTCTTCCTCCTCCTCCTCCTCCTCCTCCTCCTTCAACTCCTCCTCCTCCTCCTCCTCATCATCCTGCTCCTGCTCATGTTCATGCTCCTCCTCCTCCTCCTCCTCCTCCTCCTCCTCTCCTTCTCCTCCTCCTCATCATCTCCTCCTCCTCCTCCTCCTCCTCCTCCTCCTCCTCCTCCTCCTCCTCCTCCCTCCTCCTCCTCCTCCTCCTCCTCCTCCTCCTCCTCCTCCTCCTCCTCCTCCTCCTCCTCCTCCTCCTCCTCCTCCTCCTCCTCCTCCTCCTCCTCCTCCTCCGTCATCGTCCTCCTCCTCCATCCCGCTCCTCATCAAGTAAACCTCCCCGCCACACCCAGAGACGTGTCAGCAGAGCGGGCCAGGCGGGCTTCCTGAGACGTCGTCACCGCTTATGATGTTCAAGTTGAAGATACGCAACAGCTTCATGGATGGAGGGCGGGTGGTATGCAAGATGTGGCTCTCGCCTTAGCGCCGCGCACGAGAGCTTCGCGCATGGAGAGCGGGCGGTTTCAGAATGTGGTTTTCGTTTTAGCACCGCGCACATGCGTCTTCAAGCTTACAACTGTTTAACGGATTCTGTTGATTCACGCCCCAAGAACGGTGTTCCGACACGAGGTAGGATTCTCAGGGCGCAAAAGTCGCGTCAATTTGATGTTGGCATCCCAGGAATGGTGGTTTGGCACGATGCAGGGTCGTCAGGACGCAACAGTGAAGTTTTGTTCGCGGCATTGAAGTCCAAGGAGTGGCGTATTGGCACGAGTATTGATTATCAGACCTTTTGTTTTTCAGCGGAGCACGTCCATAGCGAAAACAAAATTATCACAGGAGTTTGTGAAAAGAGGGCCGATTGCAACATCGTCGATGCGTCTTGGGTTTCCATTGGTCCTCCTCTTCCACGCTCCTCCTTTTCCTTTTCATTTTCCTCCTCCTCCGCCTCCTCCTGCTCCTCCTCCTCCTCCTCCTCCTCCTCCTCCTCCTCCTCCTCCTCTTTCTCCCCCTCCTCATCCTCATCCTTATCCACAGCTTGTCCGTAGCCATTTTGGCTCAAGCCCCCGCCGTTTTGGCTCAGGCTTTTGAGTTTGCTGCCACCGACGCTTCAGAACGGCTGGGTGGCCGCGGGCCGATTTGGCTCGGTGGTCAGTCTTCTCCCAGACCAAGATAGCTCTGCAGCGATGTGGCTTCCCACTCGGGGCCAGCAGCGCAGGGCAGCGGCGGCCCGTGCGCATGGCACCTTTGGCGCGATACCAGTGTGAGCTCTTCCTGAACCTGCGAGAACCCGCGTGCATGTGCGCCAAGAATTGTTGGCACGACTGGTTTTGAAAGTGCCGTGGCACCAACAAGGGCGAGGCATCCCCACCGAGTCCGTGGTGGTCTTCCGCGTCGGAACGTTCGCCTGGTGCGCTCCTGCTTGCTGGTCCTAGTGAGCATCTTCCTGTCGGTGCCCAGTCCCCACAGGTGCCCATCACTGATGGTGCTGCTGGCAAAAAGATAGCGGCGACGCTGGCCTGGCGCAGCGTTACTCTGATCGTCTCTCACTGCTTCGTCGGCCGGCGCTTCCTCCTGCATGCGTTCTGAAATTTCGCGCTCCAGATACAACACGGGAGGCTAAGACCCCCAGGGCAAGTTGGAGCGCGAGTTTGATCAGCTGGCCAATTGGGAGAGCCCCTGGCTGACCGATCAGGACAAGGGGCACAAGCGGCTGGCCGCGGAGCTTCACGCCTCGGCATGCCCGCCCAGTGGCCAGGATGGTGTCAGTCGTTCGTCTCGTGATCTCGTTGGTGACTAGGAGACTCTGCGTCTCGACCATGGTGACATCTTCGAAGACATCGAGGGGTACGAGCTCACGCAGGAGGACGGCGACTCCTTCGCCCCCCGCAAGTCGGAGCTGGAGGACGACCTCAAGACGCTCGCTCAGAAATGCTCGGCGAGGCCTTGTCCAAGCTGGACAGCATCAAGGCAGCGCATTGCGAACACCTTGGTCGCCTCAAGAAGAAGCGCAAGGAGGCCGACTCACCAGCTGGCACGCCCGACGCCGAGGCAGGCGGCGGGCAAGAAGCGCGCGACGATTCTCAATTTGCAGGAGCTGCCGGATTTGAGGCTGCGGGCTCTGACAGCGCCAGCACCGATGGAGCTGCGGCGGCTCCACCTTCAGCTCCCGAGGATGACGCGCGCGCGCTGAGCGCGCGCGACCGGAGCAGGCAGCCCCCCCATGCAAACCGCCGCCTAATTTGCGTGGGGGGCATCTTCAGCATCAGCACCTGCACCAGTCTTGAGGCCCCCCAGCTGGGGGCCGAGAGCCAACCGCGCCAGGTTTCGACGGCCGCCGCCAGCAGTTGCCCCCCCTCCTCCCAGTCCCCAAGTCAACCCAAGACAAAGGGCTTAAGATCCCCACTCCCTCAATCGCCCGAAACTTTTGCGCTGTCCGCCGAATATGTGAATTGCGCCGCCTGGGCTGCAGCAGAGTCTGGGTTGATGACTGCGCGCGGGCCCGCGGTGCTCGTCGAGGAGCACAGGCCCAGTGGCAAGGGGTCGCTCGACGAGGATTTCCATCGGCTCTGGCTCAGGGGTGGAAGGGGCAATTTTCTTTCACAGCTGTGAAAAAGCCATCGAGGTGGTCTCTCGAGTGGCTTTGCGATCCTGTCCCAGGCCTCCCCGGGGCCCCATCCTCCTCCCCGAATGGGCACGCGCCAGCGGCTTCCCGCCCAGGCCCCCAGGTGGCGAGACCATCTGCACGCGCGGCGCGCACCTGCACGGCTCCAGAGACACGGGCGACAACAGTCTGCAGTTGTTGGCCAGCGTCGGCAGCAGCACGTCGATCTCTCAGCACCCGCACCCTGCGGGCGGGGATTTCAACATAGCATTGCCCACGCTTACAGCAAACACTTTCGTGACCCAGCTGGTCGCCAACATCGCGCCCCCAGATACCCCTGGCACGTGCGTAAGCAGCTCGGGGGGTCCAAGAGTTTTGAGCTAGCGGTTCCATCTGGCCTGGGCAAGGCCACAGCCGTGATCAACGTGGCCCATGATTCGGACAGCAAGATTCATTTACACAGCACCCACACTCGAGAGCCAGGCTTGAATCTATGTTAACTCGGAGCGTGCCTATACCATTAAATCTTGACTTAAGAGTGCTGGGGGCAGGCGGGGGTAGAGCGACAACCCTAATGAAAAGAGGCCCCACAGAATATCCGACGCAGCAGCGGGAGGAGACACACCCACAGGACAGCGAGCGGCTCGAGAGGAGGGGGCACCCTCCGAAAGTATCTGTTCGCAGCGGCGGGGCCCCGTGTGAGGCCCGAAACTTAAAAGGCCGAGAGGTTCCTGACCGCGCCTCGGCCCACGGTCGGGCCAACAAGCCTCGCGGCGAAACCCCCAGAGCCCATACAAGCCCAAGGGGGGGCAGGGTTGGGAGCCGAAACTTCGCGCCAGGAGAGGAGGGTCAAGCACGAGAGAGAAAGCGCTAGCCCTTCTCCTAAATTACAGTTGAGGCGGCTATCTGAACGTTTAAAGGGGGCGTGTAAAAGTGTGTTTAAAAACGCGCATTTACACAGCACCCACACTCGAGAGCCAGGCTTGAATCTATGTTAACTCGGAGCGTGCCTATACCATTAAATCTTGATTTAAGAGTGCTGGGGGCAGGCGGGGGTAGAGCGACAACCCTAATGAAAAGAGGCCCCACAGAATATCCGACGCAGCAGCGGGAGGAGACACACCCACAGGACAGCGAGCGGCTCGAGAGGAGGGGGCACCCTCCGAAAGTATCTGTTCGCAGCGGCGGGGCCCCGTGTGAGGCCCGAAACTTAAAAGGCCGAGAGGTTCCTGACCGTGCCTCGGCCCACGGTCGGGCCAACAAGCCTCGCGGCGAAACCCCCAGTCCCGTCATCACTAGACTGGCACTAGTGCCTTCATGCTTCCAGCCACTGCTAGACACGAGCGCGGCACACATTCGGGAGGGGGGGAAAGGGAGATAATTTGCGTCGCTCTCACCCACCAAAAAACCTGCTTTATATTTTCCCCATATCTATCAAGCGTTCAAGGAAGACAAGTGGAGGACAGGGTGCACGCGCCCAACTCTCGAGGCTCCTGCATTCATATCAAAAGATATAGCACCCGCGAAAGGCGGGGGCCTAAAATGAGGGTGGGGGCTGCGGCAGCCTGCTCATTGCCGTCTAGCCCTGCTGCGGCCAGCCGTAGACGGGCGGCCGGTGGGCTCCGCGCCCCCGTCCGCCATGCTCTCCAGCTGCGGCAGCACGACCTCGTCGTTCTTGGCTGCCTCGAGCTCGTGCACCATGTCCCGCGCCAGCGGGGCCAGCACGGCGTCGGAGCGGTAGATGGCCTCCGCGATCTGCTGGGCCGGCCTGCGCCAGAAGGCCCGCCCCCGCTCAAGCTGCTCGGGGGTGAGCCGGCTCCGCTGCTCGATCAGCACGTGCACCTTCGTGTAGCGCTGAAGGGCCGACGTGGTCTGCCAGCGGCCCTTCCGGCGCGCCGCCTCCAGCGAACCGCCCGCGGCGATGTAGGCCGCCGCACCCGCGTGCCTCAGCGAGTGCGGGGGCCCGAAGTCCGCCAGGCCCGCCCTGTCGAAAGCCATCCTCCACGCCTTCCTGTACTTGTCCTGTGAGAGCGGGAAGAGGAGGTCCCGTGGCGCCGCGCCCTTGCCGATCGCCCGCAGGATGGCCTTCGTCACCTGCCACGAGACCACGACGCCCTGGTTCGCTCCCGTCTTCACCTTCTCGCCCCGCTCCCTGCGGCCCAAGGTGAGCCCGACCTCCCCGTCGGGCCCCACCGCCACGTCCGTCTTCCTGAGGAGGCCCCAGTCCTGCTCCCTCAGCCAGCCGTCAAGCTGCAGCAGCACCGCGGCCCCCTCGCACAGCTGGCCGTGCTCAAAGAGG